TGTGCGTACGCGTGTGCGTGTGCGTGTGCGTGTGGGTGTGCGTGTGCGTGTGCGGGTGTGTGAGTGAGTGAGTGAGTGAGTGAGTGAGTGAGTGAGTGAGTGAGTGAGTGAGTGAGTGAGTGAGTGAGTGAGAGTGTGTGTGTGTGTGTGTTTGTTTGTTTGTTTGTTTGTTTGTTCGTTGGTTTGTTTGTTTGTTTGTGCGTGCGTGCGTGCATGCGTGCGTGCGCGTTTGTGCGTGCGTGTGATACGCTCACATACCCATCCATCCATTCATGCACGCATGCATGCACAGCTTGACATGTATACATGCATCCAGCCATTCGTCGGAACTACATCAAGCTTGGACTGGACTTCCTACGCCCTGAACCCCTAGCTGAGCCGCCGGCGCCAGCGCAGCAAGGGTCTGCACAGGTGGACCTGCCCGCGCAGCTGCACAAAGGCCTGTCCTTGTGGTCCGGACTGATACTTCAGGGACTTACAATTAGAATTGCGGGGCCTTTGCGATGCTTTAGACTTTAGAGGGGTTCAGGGCTGGACTGTCGAGTGATTTAGGGTTGTTTGGTGAGCTAGCAGTCCTGCAACCCTATGCCATGGCGATCATTTGCCAAACCCTGAACACTTCCTTTCGAAACCTTGACTTCAAAAGACCGTGTCCGGTGGGGCAGAACCCTCGAAACATCGATCTACCTACTTTTCAAGGTTTTCAAAGCCCAGGCCCAATAAACCCGAAACCCAAATCGCATCACATGAGCTTTTGACTTAACTTCAAGCCCCCACGAATCGAAGCTTTGACTGTGTCTCGAACATGCAAACTTGAATGTGTTGGTTGTACAAGAAAGACTGTCACAGTAGATATGAGCCTCCTGGCCAAAACCCTAACAAGGCACAACCCGGAGGCAGCTGCAGGCGTCAGCAGTAGCAGCTCGTAGTCCAGGAATGTACAGCATTGAGTCTTGTTCAGGAGATCCTCTTCGCTGGCAGTGTCGGTAGGGATGTCCTAAGTAACATGCTATTATGTCTATGATGTTTAAGCCAAAGTTTAAGCCCCGTCGACCCGAACCTCAACAATAGCAAGTTGAAGCACATTCGGTGAGCTTTTGCGTGGAGAAGTATCGGGGGTCCACAAAGAGGGCGTATCAAGGTGACCCCATACACTTCCCCAGCAACTACGGCGACAATGGTCCTCCCTCAATGGGCCACGCACGAACTGGGTAAACGCTTCCTCGCTGCCGTACCACCGGACAATTGCGGCACGGATGAAGCGCTTATCGAAATCAGTGCTGCATTCAGCCCGGCTGATGTCGAAGTTTTCCTGGAGCTAGAGCACATGGGGTTTCAAACCAGAATTCGCATCACAAATCAGAAACAAAATAGAAAGGGCAGTGGAGGCTCCAAGTTGGAGAACAGCTCATGTTTGAGTAGGTGGGCTTTGCGCAGCAGGTGCATCATGAAGAAGCACGGCAAGACGCCTATCATGTGCGACAGGTGCCGGTACTCGTCGTCACCACGCCAAGCCCAGTGGGCCCACAGGAAGGTGCTATGGACGTACTGCATCAGCAAGATCAGAACCACAATCAGCTCCACGAAGAGTGGAGACAGAGTAATCTTGCCGGTGGGATTAGCCGTCCGAAATGCTGCCAGTTCAAAAACACACCACAATCCTCGGATACAACATGTTCGGCTCATGCTCAGCAGCTGGAAGGGAAATTTTTCAGCAAAAAGAAAAAGCAACATCCATTGTCCAATGCGCCGAGGAGCTTGACAAGTAGGGAGCCGACCACAGCACTCGCAGCTCTGAAGATATGCTGAGAAACCCACCTATGCCGTAGATACCCCGCTCCATGAGATCCGTATCTGACTGGTGTATGCTGGCCACGTCCACGAAGCAAACATCCGACCGACGACGTATGCTTGGAAAGTAGGGTGCGGCAAGTAGCCCCAAGACAGTAGCAAGAGCACTGACAAGAAGAATCCACGGACCAACAGCGCCGGAAATGTGGCAGTCTAGAAGGTGAACCTGGACCGTCCAGGGAGATGGCAGAACTCCAAGTACAGTGAGCACGGCTGTAGCACCTACTCCGAGCACCCAGACGAAGAGAGCCTTGTGCGAGCCAAATTGCAGCAAGAGCGACAAGAGTTTCCACTTGCCTGCGGTGATCCACGTGTGAGAAAGGAAGAGGTCAAAATTCTCTACGGGCCGGGACCGATTCCATAGTGCTGCGCGAGACCTCTCATCCAAGTTCGGCGGACGGGTCAGCCATAGCTGCCCACCCTGCCGCAGGGACTCTTTCAATGAAATGCCACGAGCGATTTCGGCATCCACCTCCAGATGACCGAGTAGCGCCAGTCGCTGGAACTTGTCCGGAATCTTCGACTGATTCGAATCCAATGTCCAGGACTTGTTCGCTCGCTCACCTTCTTCCAGCGCACCACACACATCCACAAAAGATGGGGCCGGTTCGCTGACGCTGCCTTGCTGTCCCATGTGAAGCCAGCGAAGCTAGGCTGGGCAGTCTGCCTGACTTACTTAAAAGCTGACAATGGCGGCCCGGGCGATTTTGAGGAGTCCACAATGCACAACACAGCGATGCTTTCATGCTTGGCACCAAAACTTATGCTCACGTCCAAAGTCAAAACGTCAAAGTGATCGCAGAAGAAAACAGAAACGGAAGGAAGTGTAGAGGAAGGCTTATCGTTCATAAATCGAATGCTCCGCACGTGTTGGTCAAAACGACATACAGCCATGCAAGCCACGTAATTTGTTCATTCGTCGATGCTTACTGCGGCCAACTTACGGCTGGCCACGGACCGAGGCCCAGAACTTGAGCACAGACAGACAGACAGACAGTCCTGAAGGGAGTCCATTGCGCCTGGCAGTATCCAATAGCAGTATTGGATTGGAGGATGTCGCGAAATTTCAGTACATAGACACATGCGCAAGCGCGTGGGCACACGATGCCAGATTTAAGCTGAAGCCCCCAACGCTCGCCCGTCCTCGACGCCCGAAATCCCAAAACACCAAAGACATCCAAAGACCCCCTCCAACCGAAGGCCCCCGGCAGTGACTCGTGCTGCTCTTCTAGGGCCTGGGCTCCGGATATCTGATTGGGATTTCGTGACCAAACGAGGATGACAAAAGCTGGAAGTGGTTGTTTACACTCTCTCAGCTCGGCACGTCAGGAAACTCTGGCTTGTTCAGGCCAGCAAGCTGATGCTGATATTGTGCGAGCTGCTAGTCCCAGATAAGTCCTCAATAGCCTCTGGTTGGTAAGGTCAGAGCTTGCGCAGTGTGACTTTGGGGAGATATCCCAATCTGCTGAAATTTGCAACGGGTCGACCACGAAACATGATGAACAATTGCATTTCTCGACTTTCGTTGAATCCTATGGAATCTATGGAGTTTATCCGCCGACCCCGGGGCGGCGCCCAGAAGTTGTGTGTCGGGTTCTCATGTCATTTTGAATGCCCCCCCAAAGCGAGTCCAGCGGACCCTTTCCTCAGTTTCCTTGAATTCGAGCCCGGACCCCTGCCTCGCAGTGCTTGGCCCAACCCACTGGACCATTTCCTCAGCGCCCACTGGACCCTTGCCTCGACGTGTTCAGAGTAGTGATTTAAAATGGTAATCATTTCGAGCCCAAGGCCGGCCTCCTGCCCCCAATGAACCCTTTCCGTTAGTGACCTTCCGACCCTTCCATGTCCCCATTTCATTGCCCGTGACCCCCTAGAATCCGGCAGCGCTCGGTCCCGAGACCGAGCACGTGCGCTTTGTGGAGCCTCGGCTCAGGCGAGCTGTAGCTGCAAGCCTTGCTTTAGCCGGCAATGGTGCCGACACCACCCAATTTCGTGTTTGTTTTGCGTATTTTTGGGGTAGCCATGGGTAGCCATGGACGACCCCGCAAAGGGCGCGCGTCATGCATCAGCGGCCGGGACCCGGGTCGCGCATCAGGAGCATCAGCGGCTTGGTTTCGGGGCTCGGGGTATCTTAAGCTTTTAAGGTTGCGGCTTGGGTTTTAAGGCATTCAGATTTCGAGGTGGGTGCGTGGCCTTGCTCCAGGCTTCTACCTGCGCTGGCCCGTGGGCGCAGCCCCAAGAATATATATGATTTTATATTTATAGCGGCTACTCACATACCGTCTTCGAACATACTAGATAGAGAATTTCGAAGCTCCGAGCACTAACAGTTACAGTTTTGGAGGGTCGGTGGTATCTGGTACTGTGCCTATCGTAAGGGTTGCGGACATCCTGGGACCCCAACACCCTTTAAAAGTGGCTCTGTTTTAAAGCCCTCATCCAGCATCTCCCTCACTGGCCTAGAACATCACACGACAGAACATGACCTCTTGGTGCCAAATGCCAAGATTAACAAACCCTGAGCCTCCCTGCGCGCTTGCGCTCTGCTGCTTTTGCCTCGGCTTCTGCCGCTGCTGCCTCGGCCTTCCTCTTGGCCTCCTGCGCCGGGCTTTGACACTCCAACTCGGATGCTCCAGACGAGGCTTGTTGATTCTACGGCTTAGGGCTCAGAGCACTCATAGCAATGACAGGCCAAAATGGCAGCGCTAGCGATAAAGTCAACTGTGCACTGGATGGGGGAGATGGAGGCTGATGGAGGACGAGTTTAAGATTCGTTGTCTGTGCGCAGCGGGCAGGCGGGCGAGATAGTCGGCGATCACATGCTCAAGGTTCTGAAAGTTGAATATGTGTTCAAGGTTGTGGCTTTTGAAGCGGAGCTGGCCAGAACTGCGGCCGTTACCAGAATCCTTGACACCTTCTGAAGATGAAGACTGAGCTCCTGGCGTGCCGGCTGACGTTTATAGATCCCCGCAAAACCCCAGACGCTTGGACTTCGTCGTTTGGCCTCTTCCGCGGCTTTCCTCTTTTCCTCAGCCTCCACCTCGTGCAAAGGAAGAGAAAGCAAAATCAGGCTTCGAGAGGTTCGGGTGCAGGAGGGACTAGAGCTGCAGGAACAACAGGTGATGTCGCAAAACAATTCAATCTGAATCGGTACCTAGATAGATGGATGGATAGCGAGATCAGTTCGAGATAGACAGATAGATAGATCGATCGATAGATAGATCGATAGATCGCTAGATCGATCGGTAGATATATAGATAGATCGATCGATCGATAGATCGATAGACAGACAAAGCGGATGGGTAGGTAGATAGATATACGGATAGATATGGGTCTGAATTTCCATATGGATGAACATACAGTACAGATACCGATACAGATGCAGATACAGATACGGATGCAGATAGAGACAAATACAGATACAGGTATAGATACCGATACCGATACAAACAGTAAGAATGGGTATAGGTAGAGATGTAGATATAAAGCGTATGCGCGAGTGCCAAACCAAAGATGTTTCTTATCGCAGATTGCAACTAGTGATGAGCCTCACAGCACCTGCCTTCCGCACTAAACCTTCCCCAAATGTTGAACCGGACCGCCTCTTACACCTAAGCCTTGCACCCCCGACCCTGAACCGACTTTCTCGAATGATTAATGGCACGGTGAAGGTGCCGAGACATGGCTTCGACTCTCACTCTCACACAAGGTAATCCGCATGAGAACCTGTTACGATAACCAGAACCAATCTAAACAAAAACTCCTGAGCTGCCCCCATCTCCAAGGAATCACTGAGGCGGGAGAGAGATTGCTCCCACCGGAAGACTGTTGCTCACAAGGTTATAGTCCACACGAGGCTCTTAAAACACTTACGTAAGCAGCAGGTTAAAGCTCCGGCATATAACAAACAAGCTAATTTATAACTGATACTATAACAAACAACCAAAAACATAGAGGCTCAATAGCCCCTAAACGTTGTTCAGGCTTCGAGCTTTCAGTGTTGTGCTGTGAAAGGGAAACCAGTGCCTTCTTTGCCAGGATCCAGACACACACTCGCAGAAAGTCCTACAAGAAGCTATTACTGGAACTGTTCTCAGCTAGGCACGACGGGAGAAGGGCCCCAAGCATGGATTCAGAATGTCTCCAGTCAGCCACAGCTTTTGGAGAAAGGCCATGCTGCACAGGGTATGCCCAGAAAAGATACCAACCCTAAGGCTGCACTGGCACCTACGGTCAATGCACAGCCGATTCGAATTTGTTACCCCTTCAACGACCCCGTAAAACGGAACATCTCGGGCCTCAAGCTGCTCTGCTCGCTTCCTCTTCTCCTGTTTGTCTGTGCGAGGTAGTATGTACTGTGGGGATCGAGGCACGTTTTCTCGGGATCTTACAGCTGCCTTCGGACAATGATGGGGCCTCAATTCCAGCGCGAGTGCGGCCCTTATGGTGCCAAAGCCTAAGAGCTGGTGCCAATTGAGCACCCCCCCCCCCCTCGATCAAGGAACAGTAAGGAGGGAGCCGTACAATTACAACGCGGATTCCGCTTTGGAGCTTCGAGCTGTTGGCCATGGTTGAGGGCTAGTGGCATAAGGATGCTAGGTGCCCTGAGGTGACTTTCAACCCCATCTCAAAGCGAGATGCACAACAAAAAGTCCCTGCATCACATCCCAAGGCTAAAGCTGAGGATGGACAAACCTGGAGTCCCAAACCTGTGGACGCCCTAGGCTTGTTTCCTAACAATTTCTGCTGAGACCTGATCGCCGAACCGCCCAACCATGAGCTGCCGCATTGGCGCAGGACCCGGACCATCTCAAACTTCGGCACGCACACTCGCAAAATTCGGGTTTAGAGTTTATTCGCACAGCCACACCACTAATCTAGAAAACCTGTTTTGAACAATGCCGTGATAAGCATCATCCCAAACCCCGAAGCAACTGCAGGCCAGATGCAAATCCTCTGAAACCATTGCAACAAAAGGAGCCACAGCCCAATTCGCCACACTGAAAAGGCCAACGCTTGAACGTGAAACTTAGTTTGAGCAGGCACTAAGCGATAGCGGCCTGTCCCTCCTAGACTCCGAGCCCTGCTAAGCGCCAAACTCAGCAACTAACATGAAGGGATGGCTTGCACCGGCTGCGAAAAGATTATAAATCTCAAGCAATCGGAGACACAGCAAAGACACAGCAACCCCCCAACATCCTGTAGAATCCCACAAAACCATCTAGAACCCTTTGATCCTCACGTGCTGCAACTTCGGCAGCGTCGGCTTCCACCTTCGTCCCATCGGCCAGGACCTCGTTGAACTTTGGGGGCGACGCGAGCTTTGAAGAAGCTTCGGGCATAGAAGTGTAGGATAGCACAGGGTTTTTTGACTCCTCCAAAGCAAAGACGAGCTCGCATTGCAGGGTGGCTCAGAAAGCAAAACTGTAGGCAGAAACCATACCTTCATCGTGCTCTGTGCTTTGAAAATAACCGCAAACTGACTTCCATTATACAGTAGAGGGTTTACGCCTGGGAGTTTAATTTTGTGGTGGAGAGAGGTCGGTGATGTCAACAATGACTTCTGCGAGTGGCCAAACTCGGAAAACCCTGTTTGCAAGACCTGGAGGAACATGGCAACATCTTGTATCAACC